TACTAACTACTACTAACTACTACTAACTACTACTAACTACTACTAACGACTACTAACTACTACTAACTACTACTAACTACTACTAACTACAACTACAACTACAACTACAACAACAACAACTACTACTACTAACTACTACTACTGCTACTACTACTACTACTACTGCTACTACTGCTACTACTAACTGTTTTTGTGGCGGTGATACTTTTCACACACCCTGGATTATTTGCTAGGGGGGTGCTTATGCCAATTAAGATCCAACATTGTCTAGTCTTCCCGATTCAATGTGGTTATAATGTACGCCGATGAAACTCATGTCACTTGAGCATGACAGGACAAAATCCAAAACAAAGTTACTGTGAAGATTCCACAAGCAAATCTATAGTCGTTATGGCTTTGATATGAATTGATGAAACTGTGGCGAACTAGCTATCACCTGCGAGGAGACTCGGAGACCTCCGATGCTTTGAACAAGCTCCGATGCTTTGGTGCAAGCGAATGGCATCAAGAAACGGACCATTTGCACAAACTCATCGCACTGCAAAACACCGTCGTTGTTGATGTCCATCCTGAAAGTGGTTTGCTCAAGCAGGGCAAGCACATAAGCACGAACGCAATCTTTTCTCAAGAGTGCTTTGCGATGTTGGGGCCGATCTAAGCTCCCTGCATGGCAAAGTATCTTTGTAGTTCGTGCTTTGGGACCTCAGCCCATGAGTTGAAATGTCTACAACCAGCACCTTGGTTGGCGTTCTGCACTTCGAGCGTTGTAAGACTGCTCTCAAATGCATCATGTTCACCGGACCTGTATAGCTGGTGCGAAGAAATGGTGAAGACAGTGGGTCCACATGCTGGCTGCACAAAGTTCAATGGGCCTGTCAAGATCCATCAAGCTGCCAAAGCTTACATGTTCATCTACCAAACAAACAAATATAGATATTACAATATATAATATGCGTTTAACACCCTCCCCTCACCCAAAAGTACAAGCAGCAAAGAGGGTAGTGTTGAAAGTAGGTGTGGTGATGAATGGTGATGATATTCCCCATTCTCTCTTCCAAGATGCCAGGGATAGATGGGATAGCAAATTCCTCCCGAGCGATCCATAGCGATCCACCAATCAAAGTGATAGTGATCCGCCACTAAATAGTCTATATCGTAGTCTCTTCCCGATGATTTCAATGCGCCCACCCCTCCATGTGTTCGTCCGGACAAATCCCAACTAGGACTGACTTGTTGCGCCTCAACTCATGCTTCAGGAAAATACAACTTTCCGCAACTCACTCTCTAAAAATCAACCTGAAGGACAAAGCAAAGATATTGGTGCCACTGAACGTGGACACCGAATTGTTGCTACTAACTGCTATCGTTGCCACAAACCTCTTCTAAAGTGTGGGCTGCGGACCAACATGATGCAGCATCATTCCAAGTCCTCCTGTAGACTTTGGACTTCCCACTTCCCCAGAGAAAACTGTAGCAACACAAAACAACTCCAGTCCTTGTCTTATTGGTCCTACCACAGAGGTCAATTCCACGTGTAGAGGGTTAAGCCAGGAGCGGCATATGGAGAGGGTCAGTAGCAGGAGGGTCTTTAAGTTCCGCACATGTAATCCCAGCTCTTGCTCCAGCATGTGACTCATGTCTGAGCCTTGGATTGCACAGCGACACAACACGTTCTGTGATGTTCAGTGTGCTCACAAGCTTTTTAAGGTCCAGGACTCCAGCAAGCAGGGAATTGCAGGGATTGGGTCGCTGACACAAGGAGGCCCTTTCCAAATCTCTAGACAGGGAGGAGTGTAATTGTTCGATTTCAAGCCAAGCCATCACCCTTCAATCACTCGTGGCTTGAAACCATTTGACTTGCCTCGGAGGGCCCCAGTGGTTTGCCCACCAGAGTCCCAATGGTTTTCGAACTCCGCACCATCGGCATGGCGAATCGGGCGTGGCCAAACACATGTTCTCCACAAGCCCTAAAAGGGCCTCCAGTCAGAGCTCTTCATGTCTTTTCATTCAGAGCTTGATCCGAAACGCACAACCTGCCGCGTGAGGGGAGCATTTCTTGCTTTTATGTCGACTTTCGGCCCCTGGTAGCACGTTTGCCACTGGGCTTTCGGGCAGGTTAGCCCTGGCTTGGACAAGGCCTGAAGCAGTTGGAGGGCCTCAGCCGCAACAAGGCGCCAAGCCAACAGTGCTCCAACGCTTGACAAGCCAGCGGAATGAGCTCCTAAAGTACTGCTACTGCTACGGACTGAATGACCTAGTTTCATCATGTCTCATCAACACCGGCTCCTTTAACATGTTGCACTTCTATCACTTCAAACATCCATCACGATCAAACAGCAAGGCTTGGTCCAACCAAGTGTTGCCGGTAGATGCTGGCTGGTCCCTCTGGTGGAAGCATACGTCACACCAATCCACGAAAATAGCATGCTAGGTCAGGCTCTCAAGACATTGGAACGGTTTGCTGCTGATCCCTGGAAACAGTGCCCCTCCCCATCCTCCCCTCACTTGTGCCCGTTCAACCTCTCTGGGTTCAAACGAAAGCCTTCGAGGGAAAATCATTCCACCTATCTAGCTGCTAAACATATTAACACGTAAAACCCCAAGCAAATACACATACGGTATATACGACAGTATATAAAAATAGAAAGCACATCAAAGAACCAAGGCTTGTGACGAGGACAGCAACATACAAATTGCATGAGACTCCCGGTGCCCACCATCTCGCCTCAGGAGCCTCCAGGACACCTCGCTTCTCTGTGTCGCTCTGGGCCTTGGATCAGTTGGGTGTTGGGTCAGCTTGTATTTGATGGGTTTCTGCTGAAATCAATGCTGTTGGATCAACGATTGGCTTGTTCGTCCCTCTTGGGCGTCAAGCGCTGGGCGTTCCGCCCGCCTCTTGCTCCCAAAAAATGCTTCCAGGCCCCGAACTGCTATGTCAGTCTCAGGAAACCAACCGAACATGAGAAAGGTATTGTGCCGTGCATCATGTGCCACATCTGTGATGCTGAATTTGCTTGGAATGCTTGATTGCATGCCTACAATATTGTTCGGTGGGAGAATGATTAATAACACTTAGCCTTGATGGCACCCTGCAACTGTCTGAGCCTCTGAAAGCACTGTGGTAGTAGAACAAAAATATACAAAAATAAAGTTGTGTGGGTGCTGAGGCGTAGGCGAAAGCCTCATCCAAATTGCGCAACGTGTATTCCCGAATGGGTCCTGAGGTAGCTCCGTTGGCTCTTACGGCATCTCCGACCGAGTTGACTGGCGCAATGGCAAAAGCTGAGGTCACCCTCTGCTGACGTGAAGGTAGAAGGATTAAACATGACCTCCAAAAAGATTTGCCGAGCCGCGCCTAGTTAGTTAGTTGACCAATCTTGACATTTGAAGGAAGTAATGTCAGGATTATGAGATGACGAATCCAAGCTCACCATGTGTTGAAAACCCGGACTTCTTTCAAGGCCTCCCTGAGTGGCAGCACCCGTCCTGTTGGCAGCACCCGCCGTGCCACTTGGCCTCAGCGTCGGATGTTGGAGCCGTCTCAGCCACCAGCCGTGGATCCAGTGCTGATCGCCACCTCTGAAAGGTTTAAGGTGAAGGATGCCTACTAGTAGGGAACCACACAACACCCATACAAACCGCTTACACATATATAACATTATATAACATGATACAACCGTTTCTTAGAAGCCACAACTTCCGCTTCAAGCCTTCCATTCAAGCAGTGCTTCGGCCTTTTCTCGCAGCTCGCTACACCAACTTGGCCCAGGAGACTCCAGCTGCTTCCAAAAGAGCGGAGGCGACACTTAAATTTACCTGGCAGGAATTCTGAGGCACTTCAATCCATGTCATGTGTCCAGGATTCAATCCATCGTAATCCATCCTACCGGCACTCCATGGCACTCCCAACTGTACGCTGCGTATGCTGAAACTCTCCGGCTTTTTCCGCCCGGCGTGTGTACTTGTTCACTGCATAGCACACAGGTTAATGCAAACAGGAGTACACTTGAAGCACATACAGGCCATCATAATCCTCAACCCCCTCAAATCATGGATCCTGATCAATTCCAACGGTCCCAACTGGTGTCAATCTTCCTCCACTCATCGAAACAACAAGACCCTGATCCCCCACCTGCCCCTCCGTGCTGCACAGCTCTTCTCGCAGCTGATCTGCTCCCGTTTCAACGCCACAGCTCCTCTCTCCCCGCAACGCCACCAGCGCTGGGCCCAGCTCCATGTCCCAACGCTCGGAGGTGACGGTGTAGTAGGCCCAGCGCTGCAGGAGCACAGCAGGGGTGAAGAAGCTGGTAAACCTACCGAAGCACCGATGCAGCCTGCTAAGCCCTGAGTTTGAGGTCGTTTTTTGAAAAGCTTCCTGTATATTGAGTAGAGTTGGAGCACGTGTTCAAAATATGCTTAACATAAGTATTGTATTGCAATGGGCAATGGCTCATTGTTTACTACATCGCTTTGTTGCACATAGCATCACATCTCTATTTCCAGTGCATCACCTGGCATGTGAAGGGCTGGATCCAAAAGATCGCATTCTGTCTCCCTCTATTTATGCTACCAGGCATGGGTGTGAATGCCCTTGAACTTCAGAACATCAAATACCACTTGGTGCAGTCCTGACCTGTCAATGTAGCATGCGAAAGCACGCTGCAGGGCAGGCTGCTGGCGAATACGGCGCAAAGCATCCTTACAAACGATAGCATGCAATTCTGATCTCTAGAAAACATGCAGAAAATCGAACCCAACTGGCACTTGACAAAATCCAACTCAACTTTTTGTTGCCATGCTTCTTTGAAGCCAGCCGGCCCGTGTCTCAATGGCAAGCCCCGGAACCGTGGCACGCCTGCCCATCGCGGTGGCCGCAGATCTCGGGTCAACGTTCGCCAGTCTTGGCCCAAATGCTTGGGATCCGAGAAGCGCGCCAAGGCCACGGAGCCAGAGCCTTCCATCCTTGGACGAGGAAGACCGAGTCGATCGAGTTGTCCAAACGAGTCGATCTTTGACCCGTTGGATGGCCAATGATTCTTATAATATTCTATATGATTCATGCTGGTGGCCTGCGGTTGCCGGTGTTAACCATGATTCCTATGAATGTCGATTCTTATGATTCCTGTGATTTGTTTGTGTGTCTCTCTCTCTCTCTCTTCTAAATCATGAATTATGAAACTCCAAGTGCATGTTTGAAATCCTTTTGAACCTGTCCCCTTGTCCCCATGATTCCTTTCGAATTGATTGCTGTGGTCGTGGTTGATGTCCTCTTGGACGCATGAGCGTTGGCAAATGCTTTGCGAAGGCTGCGAAGGTGTTTTCTTGAATGAAGAGTGCAGTTAATGCAATTTAAACTCATTTAATGTCCTGTAGAAAAGCAGCACATGTCACATGGCATTTGACAGGGAGGTTGGCGGTTAGCATGAGTCCCCCTCCATGGTTTTTGGCGTCTGTTTGGTCACTGCTCACGTCGGGGAAGTCCTTCGCATTTGCGGCTTATCGCACATCCAAGAGGCATCGGAAGAAAATCCACTGCTCCCCACGCCCAACCAATGTCCAGGGCTTCAATGTTTTCAAATGGCATGTCCAGATCAGGAAAAAAGACATGCAGCACAGCCACCCAAAAGGAAGCTCCATGACCTCCAGCAAAGCGTGTTTGCGGAGCAGTTTGCTCAGGCACATTGATTAAGAACCCAACCAGTACACTGTGCAACCCAAAATGATCCTTGCGTGCGTCTATGCATTTGAATGTATACTATATAAATGCATACTGATATTAATGTTATATACAGCTAACGAAAGCATATATATAATATATTATGTACATATAATATCTATGACGGTGTTCAACGCTTTTTCGTGGCTTGATCTGGCTTGCTTCAAACTCCGTGCCAGGCCGACATGCTTCACATTGCCTGCTTGCGCACGGATGCCCTGTTTATTATTCACAAGCTGAGTTAGACCACCACACCTTCATTCAAGAGTGCCCGGCACAATAGTCTGAGCCCCTTTGCCGGAAACATCACACTGCCTTCCAGTTTAAGTGTCGGATGTTTGATAATGGAAATCTCTGCAAACAGCACCAACAAAAAATAGAACAAGTTCACCTGTGGCCTCAAATCAAATGTTTTGACTAAAGCCATTGGTCAATATATGGATGTCTTGTATGTGGGCACAGCTGAGGAACACCAGGAAACCACTGCACTTTGGCATTTAGTTTGGGGGGCGGATCGACAAAGGGCTACGGGCCATTTTATAATGTTGACCTGCTCATGACAAAACATCAAATTTTCATGTATATTCGGCCTATTATTGGCCGTGCCCCCTTGTGATGCAAACGGGTGCAACGCCCCAACCGCCTGGCTGCACTAGCATGAGTACATCCACTGGTTGCAAGCTGAGCCGCTGTCCAAGTTCTCGAACACTTCATAGACATTCTGGAAGACATACTTCAATGGTGACAAGAACGCTGCGTGCAATGCATTGCGCTTGTGATTGTCCAAAAATGCTGCTGCGTGTCGACACACAACTCTCTTAGAACTATCTGCGCACTCTCCATCTTCTGCGTCAAGCAAATCGTAAATGCAATATTCAAAGACTTCCTTGTGACGCCCCACGCAGTTGTAGCAGGCTTCATGCAGCTGCAGCAGGATGTTCACTAAGAGTTGCTTCCTGTGAGTGGTAGGGCCACTGGGCAACATGGAATCCTGCTGATACACTTGTTTTCAAGAATGTCATCTGGCGGCAACAGGCGACATTGGAATTGGATGGAATTGGGTCCAAACACGACCCAAAAAGGTCCAAACGCTTTCAAGCACAAATCCTTCCAGGCCTCGGGTCTTCCTTCGCCAAATCCGCAAACCATTTCAGCAGGGCGTGAGCCAGGGAACGGAAGTGCAGCTGTCCGGAGATCTGTCGGGTCCAAAACACGCTGGGCTTCACAAATCCATCTTCGACATCCTTGGCGTTTGTCAACGCCCCTTTTGGAGGGGCGGAATCTGAGAGGACGGAAAACCTGGGGAAATGAGATGTTGAAACGGATTTGCTTCATGTGCGGAACCGCCCAGCAGTGCTTCCCTGCAGAACTGAAGGTCAATTAGAATGCCCCGCTGATTGGACCTCCAATAATGATACCAATGGGCATTAATCTTTCTTATCAGTTCATTCCTGTTTCCCGGATCCCTGTTAGATATATAATAAATTGCAATAAATTGCCTATATATTTGATATTTTTTGATCTTATCATATCTTATTGCTGGAGGCCCGGAGGCTCCTGAAAAATCCAAGAAACTGTCGCAGGCACTGCTTTGCAAGAAACCCTTTCACGCTGGAAGCCCGGCTCGCCGAAGCAGCATAGCATGGCATGGTAGACCTGCAGCCATGTACTGTAGACCAGTCAGCACCACGGTGACAAATGGCTACAACCGGACTTCAGTGATTGAGTGCAGTTTCAATTCAACAATGAAAGATTATCAGGTCAAAACCTGTGAGAGGATTGAATCAGTGTTTTCTTTTGAATTGCTACTCCGAAACTGTCAAAGTCGTGCATAGTTCACGAAGGACTCCGTGATGCGATTCCAACCAAGTCAACAAATAACCGTGCAAGGCTTTGCAATGTTTTGCAAGTATGCATCAAATCGTCCACATCTTAGCAGGGAGCTTGCTTTCTTGGCAAAGGATTGAGACGGATAGAAACCCTGCAACAGCTGCCACCAAGGTGCTGGAACATTGAGCTGATGCTCATTGGCCTCGTTTCAAGACCCCAACCAAGGGCTGCAACAATGGGTCTTCATAAACCAGGGCACCCACACCACGGACTGCCCTGATTCAAAGAACGATGTGCCTCATGAGAGGATTCCTAAGGATTGAAATCTAGATCAAATGAAAGTAGGCCTAGTAGCTACTAGGACGCTACTAGGAACAAAGGGCATCGCTACTAGGAGCAAGGAGCAAAGGGCACCGCCACTAGGAACAAGAAGCTACTAGGGGCTCCTGGCCTTACTACTAGGAG